TTTCTGTTGATTTCAAAACATATAGTAATAGAAAAAGAATGAAAAATAAATTTAACATATTGTTTTTTCTTGGAAATATTTTGCTGTAGCTTCCCTCAGGACCCAATCAAAAAATCAATTTAATGCAAATACTATTTTTATTGATTAGCAAATCACTTTTTTATCCTCATTCCAAATATGTTATTCGTTTTGACTGAAGGTCTACTTTTTCCAATTAGAATCTGCTAAAGATCAGTGAAAAAAAAATACAAAAAATAGTGTTTAAACGGAATTTCAGAACTAATCAAAAACCATGTTACTTTTTTTTCGTTTTCTAAATATTAAGAAAACAGTGAACAGAAATGACCATATAACTATATGATTTTTATCTTTAATTGTTTCTTAGAGCATCGCTGATTCGATTTTTTTTAATTTATTTTCATCGTAGCATTTACTTTTCAGAGTCTCATTTATATTCGAATTCGAATTAGGTAACTCATGCAATACACACACATACATCGAAACTCATTCATGTTAACGGTCACATAAGCAAAATATGTTATTAAAAAAAGGATTGGTCTATAGTTGTTTACTACCTTTTTACCAGTTCTATAGGTTCTTCTCTACTTCTCTGACATACAATGGTTTTCTAAATATGTGCATTGAATTTATAATATTATTGCGTGACAGGTATTCAACTATAAACAAAGTGATTGTAGAAAGGTAATCGAACTTTTACTTTAAATAGAACAAAAAACAAAGACAATGAATGCTTATTATATATCGAAACAATGTCGGAATCAAGTATTCTTGAAAGAAAATATGCGGAAAGACTTCGAAATTTTTGTTTGAATGAATATAATGAAATATTCTCGCAGAAAAAAGAACTAAAGCGATTTCTTATCATTTGCCAACCGAATATTATTTAATATGAAGAAAATTTTTCTTTGAATTTTTTATTAACTTCCGAATATTGTTATTCATTCTTATCAAAAAAAGAAAAACATTTACATTATTACCTAAAATATGAAATATAGTTCAACTACAAACACTTTTCTATTATTTATAATTAAAATTATTTCATATAACAGTCCTATTTCGTTCGACAAATAAACAACATATTAAGTGTAGAATGAGAAGTGTTTCTCGACGTAGTTTACATTAAGAAAAAAAAATACGAAATGAATTATGCTAAATAAATGCATAAAATAATTTGATGTGTTTCATTGAATATTTCATCATAATGTATAATTAATTAGGTTTGGATTTAGATGATCAGTACTTTAATAAAAAAAAAATATTGGAAGTTTAGTTGATACAATGTCTGTTATATAGTAGAAGGCGTGTCAGTTGAAATGCTCTTGAGATTACAGGAAATGATAGCCGAGAGTCTTAATCTTACAAATTAAGATACATTCTATTGCATATAAGTAACTCATAGATTTCTATTGATTGATAAGAGGTTTTCAAGTATCTCATGCAAATATATTAAGCGATTTCAGTGAGCCATTTCTAAGTCTTTCTTGGACTGTTGGCAATATTTCTATAAAATTTTATGCATATAAAATATTATAACTACTATGAATGAGAAAAAAGATGTAGAAATCACAGTATAAAACTGTTTTTAATATGGCTGGATTAACTCTAATTATGCAGAACGAATATTATATGAAAATCTATCAGTTTTATATATGCAAATAGTATAATTATTATAATATAACATGCATAGAGTAAAAAGACATACTGACTTCCTTTTTTTTTCATTAAATCTCTTGAAAATGCACGCCCTATAGTTATCATATAAGCAGTTCTTTTCTTCTTTTTTTTTGCTGTAGCAAGCCAGTGATGTAGCAAGAGATTGAAGACTATCGTTTATTTAACAGCGAATAATTTCTACTCTATTTTTTTACTTTGTGTAATATGTTATTATGCGTTGTGTTTATCGTTACACATCAATAAGTTTATGCACATGCGAGTTTGATTAACCGACCATAGAAAACGGTTTTTTCTTTTCTATTTCATTTTTTTTTCCTTACCACTTTTTATATATTCAAGTGCTAGCATAATAAAAAGCGTTAGCAGTCTCCACAAAAACCTATAAAAAGTACGTAAGAAAAAAAATTTTTTTTTTTTTAATATTTATATCATCGAGGCATTTGCGATGTTAGAGCTAAGATAGGCAGCACGCAATGCTAGTAAATTGATACGTCTTTAAGTAGAAAGAAGTGACCTATATTTTCTTTTTCCTTCCTTCTTGCTTGCACTCGTTCAACCGATAGGGTTGTGCAAATAAGCACGCAAGAACGCACTAATAGTATTTGCCACTCCTATCTAACAGTAAAACCATTTATAGCATGCATTAGAAAATGGGCGAATAGGAGATTTTTATTTCTATCTTTTCTTATTCTTCGACGTTCTTATAAAAAACTTCTCATTACATATCCCACAACTAGGAATAGAGATTTTTCTTATAAAGACATTTATACATTCAAGTAAGGATTAGGGTGACGACAGAACTATAAAAGAAGAACGAGAAAAATAAAAATAAAATGTTGGTCGTCATGGAGATTAGATGCAATGTCGTGGAAAGAAAAAAAGAGAATAGTAAGCCATACTCATTCTTATTCGACAATCGAGCGAGGATACGGGCAAAGGTCACATTTTGCACTTTGTCGCATTTTTCTATTTTCATTCTTTCTCTTCATGATATTTTTTTTTTTTCTTTTATCTCGAGAAAATATTAATTTTCTGAACTATCCAATCATTATGAAGAGTGTGAAAAAAAAAGGGAAAATATATCTTTATATATTCACTAATTCTTTATTTATTCTACTCAAACCTTAAAATATATTGTGAATTTACTAATGCATACAATTGAGTAATAATAAAACGAGTTTGGTGCATTTGCTCTTTTCTTCTTTTTTTCTTTCTGGTTCTTTTTTGTTTGCTATTTGCATTTTACTACTATCATGCAACGGTAAGCAAATATAAATCATTATGCAAAACAACAAAAAAAAAAACCCCTTTCTAAAAGCACTATGCCATAAAAATTTTAATTTGATTTGTCAAAAAAATATTCGAATATAATTATTGATCATAATAAAATAAAGACATACGTGTTTCGACAGCGAGTCGAAGTTCTTTATTTTTAGTAATTTTTAAATAATGCGCATATTGAATTTCTTTTTACACTATCTTGTCATTACGAATGCACTGTTTGACTTCATAGAATAATTTCTTCTTCTTTCTTTTCTTGTTGAACAAGATGATAAGTCATCTATTATAAATTTCTTATGTTAGTTTCTATTCTAGAATGCATCAAGTTCCGAATGAAACTATGAAACGTTTTCCAATTCCACCCTCATCATCATCAATGCCAGTTATACCGTCAGCAACTAATCCGTTAGCTCAAGATCTTCTTTGGATAAGTAAACAACAACAACAACATCCATCAACACATGCACATCCATTGAAAAATACCATACGTGTTAATTCACGTGGTATACGTTATAAATTTGATGGTAAACAATGGCGACCATTATGTGTATCACCGGATGGATATGAATGTCGAAATTTAGCATTTCGTTCTTCACTTTGTCAAAAACATTTTTATAAAGTACATCTTTTTAAACGACCTTATGCAAAAACTAATTCAATACCACCACAATCATCATCATTACCTGGAATTCCTCCACTAACATTAAAACGTCCATTACCATCTGAATATGAACAGCATCATCATCATCACCATTCTCATCATCATACAAATGAACAACAACAACAACAACACGAATTACCAAAACAACAAAATACAGTTCATGATGAACTTGAAGAAATATATGAAGATGATGATTCAATTGAAGTTATTGAAGATAATGATGTAAGATAAGAAATATATAAATATTCATTTCTGTTTAATATTAAACAAAATACTGAAAATTAAAGAGTATTTTCTGGAAATTACTAAAATATTAATGTAAATCTATACTTTTACTATGGCAGCTCAGTTTGACCTACTTATGGTAGAATTTAAATTAATTCTATTTGTAAACATTTGGATTAGATATATATAAAAAATTCATATTCTCTCTATTGTAAAACGAAATCTGATCTTGAATTTGTATATAAATTTTTTTTCTATCAGATAATGAAGTATCATTTATATAGTTTCCCATCATATTGCTAGTAATCTTTTAATAACTTTTTTTCTGTAAAAATATATTTTTATTTTTAATTATTTTAGGCCATAGTAAGCAAACAAGATACTAATCAATCTGAACCAGAATTTAGTTTTTTTTCTATCGATTGCGATCCTCAAATAATTCCAGATACACCAATAACAAATCAAGTCAAACCAGAGCCAGTATGTTTAACATAAAAGATAATAATAAAAGAAAAAGATAGTGATGTTAAATATTATTTTTATTTTTTTAGTCACCAACAACATATGCTAGTCGAACAGAAGGAATAACTAAACGATTAGATTCAACAAATACTGAATCTGTTATATCGAACGAATCTGAATCATCATCATCATCATCATCATTAAATATATCAATTCCAAAAATAATTGAATCTATACGTCTTGGTATACCACCATTAACACGTACAGAAGAAAAATCTTTAGCTAATGAATTAATTACACAATTACTAGCTGATGCATCATCTACAGCAGGAGAACAAATGGCACGTCGTCGTGCTTGTGACATTGTTTTTGATAATTATTCTCATAAACTTTTATCAGAAAATATATCAACAGAATGGTTTTATGATTTTTTATTACGTAATCCACGTGTACCAATACATTTTCAATCATGGTTTTCATCTGTAAAATCAATATTACCATTATCAGATCAATTAATTGACATTAAAATATGGGAACTTGGACTTGTAACACGATCAATTATATCATCATCTTCAATTTCAACATCTTCATCATCCTCACCTTAAAAATGCTTTTGTCATTTTTTTGTTTACTGTGATTGTAAAAATTTTTCTTTTTTTTTCTTTGTCGTTTTCTTTTATAAATATAAATAAAAAGCAATTATCAAAAGTATTAATAAAAAATAAAAATTTATCGATAATGATAAAGACATATTTTTTGTTATTTTATCAAGATAATTTCTCACTGTTATATGTACATCATCAATAGCCTTAAAATTATCTGGATTTGAATAATTTGCACCAGCAGCAACAAATCCATGACGCATATTCGAATAAGTTTTATATTCACATTGTTTACTTATATTCATATTTGATTGTTCAATTACACTGGATATATTTGGTTGTAGTGGTGGATCATTACCAGCAGCAATAAATAACATTGGTTGTTGTAATTGACTAACTTCATTAGCTGTTATTGATGAACCATGAATTGATATACCTGTAAAAAATATTGTTGATAAATTTGAACAAGCACGTACAGCTTGTAAACCACCCCAACAAAATCCAATTAAACCAATATGATTTGTTGAAAATATTTTATCTAACCAATCAGCAATATTTTTAAGATCATTTGAAACTCTAGACCAATTACTAACATTTATTAACCATGTACTCATACTTCCATTTGTTGGAGCTACAGTACCACGAAAAAAATCCGGCATAACAACATGAACAGAATATTCTGATGCGAGACGATCACAAAATACACGTGTTTGACTTATATTAAAACCACGAATATCATAAATAACAATTATTGATAAATTACGATTGGATTTACCTACAGAATATATATCGAAATCATCGAGTCGAAATACTTGACCTTTTGAATAAGTTTCATTCCATAAGAATTCATTTATTGTTTTACTAGCTAAAATAAAGTCTATGAATAAATCTTCTTTAGATTACATTAATTCATACCGAAAATACTACCAAAAATAGCAAATAGCGATAACAGCTTCATCTTGTTAATCTTACTTCAAGATAAATAACTTATATACTGTAACATTCATGGTTGTTGTATAATGCTGATAAAAGGTTCTATATATAAAACCTTTGAATGAAAGAAAGAGCAAGAAAAATATTTTTCTTGGTGTATAATCTACTATTTTGACAAGAGAAGTATTTAGTATGAAAAATTATTATCTACAGAACGAAATAATAGTTACATATAATTTATTATTATTATTCTGTGTCAATAATATGTCGAAATAAAAACTGCTGAAAGCATAGTCTTTATAATATTTAGCAAAGAAAGCAAAAGTTTTGTATGTGAAACACTTGTAGTCATCGTATTGCATATGTGAAGAAGATTGCCAATCTTATTCAAATCATTTTTATGGATAATAGGAATTGAATTTGTTCTTAGACGATGTTTAAATCTCGACTTGCTAATTCTAAAAACAATATTTATTAGAATATCCGATAGATTTCTTTTTACAATCCCATTTGTACGCTTGTCAACTCTTTATTTTCATCTCTTTTATATTTTTCATTAACATTTATTGTCTATGACATACTCGGAAGACATTGTATCCGCACTTCGAAATTATAAATTTATTAGAAAAATATTAAATAAAATATTATGATTAATACTTCTTATTGATAATTCGATAACATACTTATGATTTTAACTTTTTTTACTAGTTTGCACTCATATAACTTAACCATAGGAAGAAAAATATTGAACTAATGAAATCGTCCTCAATAGCCTTTTGTAAGGGTTATAGTAACTGACGAACTTGGTACATGTTAATCTTCATTTTCTTTTTATATCTTAATTAAATTAGATGAAGATTTATATTTTTAGGTTGGTTCAATTGCATAATGACAATCTTCATATTAATAATACAAAGAAAAATATTTTTTCAATCGTTATTTTTTCTTTTCATTCACTTGTTTAACGGAAAAATAATCAAATCACTTAAAGAAATTGTGAATGTTACGGTTGTCACCATCCACAAGCTTTCAATTGTCGTTTCTAACGTTTTTTTGCTTTCAAAAAAAAAATCCATGGTAAACGTGTTTATGTGTATGTTAATGTTTGAAAGACATTAACAAAAAGAAAAAGGGTACAGAAGAACAAACATAAATTAGAAAAAACAAAAAAATGGCAACATCACGCATAAGCACTAGTACAACGTTATCATCGAGTAAAAATGAACGCCGTCAAGTACAAGCACGTATACGTGCTATTCAACAACGAACTAGTAAGTATTTATCATAATGATGAATAATTTGTTGTTGAATACAACAACAAGAATTTCATGTTGTTTGTCATTAGATGCTTTACATGAAGAATTATCTCGTTCATCATCTGTGGCTAATACAGCTGTTCATGATATTGAACACACTTATATGATGATTACGAAAGAATTTCAAGAACAACGTGATCAACTCTTAAGACGTATTCATCATATTAAACAAAATATTCAACAGTAAATTTATTTTTATTTAATGAATATTGCTAAACATCTTCAATAAATGTTAGATTCAACTATATTCAAATAGAAAACTGATTCTTTTTTCTTAATGTTAGATAGAATAATATTTCTTGATGTGTATTTTCGAAATCTAGAATTTTTATAAAAAAGCAAGAGTCTAAATTTTCAACATGCAGAGTCGGAGAGTAAAAGTTTATTTTGATAAAGAAGAACAGAATATTCTCAGAGTAATCTGACTTCCTCGAGCTCTCCGTGACATTTGTATGTTGAGCTAAGTATGTTTTACAAAATGCCAAAAGACTATTATTAATGAGAAAAATACAATAAACGTTTTTTGGACTTTCCGGAAATTTCGGATAGCTCAGTAAAAAAAAAAAGTCATGGAGAGCTCAAAGATATCTTATATTACTAAAAATGTTTTGCCCTATCATTTTCCGTTGTTAAAAAGAACTCTTATTATATGGCTCTGTGTATCATGTCTAAGCTTTTAGTCTTATAAAAATCCTGGATTTTGAACATATAACGAGAAATTTTGTTTTCTCATAACTTTGTTGAAAAGAATTTTTTCTATTTAAATTTTTTATAGCAGCTATTACAAGAGCATAAAGGATAGAATTTACATCTGATTAACTAATTTTATCGAGCACTCAACAAACTGATTATCTAGGTAGAAATCATTTGAACGCGTTAAGGATACGAATAAGGACTGAAGATGGTTAAACATTATCGAAAATCATTAGAAATCAGTCTAAATTATAGAAATATTTTCAATAATAAGATTAAATGTAAAGTTCGAGTTTCTAATGATTTTTATTGATTTTCAATCATTTACGACAAGAGTTTCATTTGAAGATGGAGATGTGTGATTCAATGAAAATCTATGAAGAATATTAAAAGAAAAAGTTCAAAAAGAAGAATTCTCAAGTTTGAAACAACTAAAACAAAATCGAACCTTCTATCGATATAGTTCAATAGGAATTACTCTTTATTTACCTATAAACTAATATTTAATAAGAAGTAGAGATCACATCCTATCTAACAAAACAAAAAAACAAGGATGACCTTTCTATCACATTCTGTTCGAGTACAGTTGAGTCTGACATTCGTTATATTTAACTTTTAATTTTATTTCCATAGGTCAACAAATGAACTTGATGGTATACGTAAACATTTACGTAGAACAGAATCATTTCATTTACCGCAAAGGTAAAAGAAACTTTTTTTTTATTTGTAATACAAATATCTAGAAAAAAAAAAACTTTATGTTAGCTCCCGAAGACAATCAGTTGATATGGAACCACATGAAATGAATGCTATGGTTGATGATATCGAACGTTTACTTAATAACATAGCACAACAACTTAAACAGGTAGAATGTATATATATATACATATATCTTAAATTCTCAATCAATTGATTGTGTGTAGTATCGTTTTAAACCTTCGGGTGGTCATAATATGAGTAGAACACTTGGTACAATAATTGCTAATAAAGATGCTAATCATAAAGAAACAGGAATAACATCAACAAGATCATCAATAAATCAATATAATTCATCAAATACTATATCAATTCATAAACTATATACAGTAGATTTAGATATATCTGCTAAATGGATTGTTTCATCAATAGAAGATCGAATATTTACATGTGATTGTGAAGGTGAAGTACGTATTTTTTCATATTCTCGTCGTCTTCGTCGACAACCATTATTAACTGAACGCTTTCATTTATCAAATATACGTCTTATTTCATCATTTACTGTGACATATGATTATTTAGTTGCATTTGAAACCGATACACAAATCATTACATTACATACACATCATGGTGCATTACTTGTTCGTTTAGCTTTTCCATATGATCCTATAATGATTGTTCGTTGTGATTATTTAACAAAAAATCAAATTTGGTCATGTAGTCGTACAAAACGTCAATGTCATCAATTTGATATAAATCATACAACAAACGAAATGATTCCTCTTGAACAAATAGATTTTAAACAACCAGTATCAAATATTATAATTGATCCTGTTGGCATATCATGTGATGAACAAGATCGTGTTGCTGTACACGATGTTAATAGAGTAACAACTGATCGTTTATTAATTTTTGCAAATGATCAAAATATGGTTATACCACTTGATTCAATAAAATATGCTGATCGACAAATATCATCTCAAATTGAACGTGTTTTATTAGTACCAAAACAATCGAATTTAATTGTTATACTTTATGCACCACAATCAACAATAACAAATTTACATGAAATCGTTATTGTTGATATAGAATTACGACCAGCACAAATACTTTATCGTCTTCAAGAACCAAATGGTATACAAAATATTGATGTAACATTAAATGGTGAATTAGTTTATAGTGTTACACCACCAGCAAATAAACGAATAATACCAAAAATGCATATTTATAGTTTAGTTAATTGATTGATTGACTTATCTTTTAGAAATATAACATAGAATTATTACAGATTTTTTCATGCTTAATAAAAAAAGAAATATAATATTAAATAAATTCTCGCAATTATTGTTTTGCTCAATGAAGTCTTATCATTTTTCTATAATTTTGCAAAACTATATCATATTGATGAGTGCTTGTATTTCTCTTGTGATATTTCGATATTATCAATATAACAATAGTATATTTTATCTACATAACTGTATTCCTAACATTTCGAATAACAAACTATTAAGTAAATAGAATGAGATGTCACGAAGAATTTTAACTTGCCAAATGTTCTGTTCTTGACTCTTGCTTAATGAATATTTAGCATAAGCCTTTTCATTACAGCTACAATATATTGGGAAAACTTCACACGATTTGAATATACCTAGTCTAAGATCGACTTTTGAGGATGAGTGTGTCTTAAACAAGTCATAATGAAAATGAATATGTGTTCATTGTATATATTAAAAATAAAATAAATAACAAATGTCTTAGAAATAATGGCGTCGTTTTAATTTCTTTCATTCAATTGGTTGAACGAGCAACTAAAGTTTTTTTAGAAGATGTATCGTTCAACTTTCTACAAAAAAATTGTGTTTTTATAGATGTAAATAACATTCTTTATTTCTTGACAACGATGTAAATAATTAGTCTAACTTTCCTAAACAACTTCTCCTCTAATTTGTTTTTTTACAGCATGTCTAAACTCTTCAATGAAAGTTAGTTTTGATTGAACTTATCTCAGTTCGTCTGGTAAACAAATTCATCCCTAATAGAATAGTCTAGTAGATAGAATCTGCATCATATTTTAATAACTATTCAATCGTAATTATTATGATAAAATGTATGTTTTTAAAATTAAGCTGTTCATTTTCCATCTCGCAATAAAAATTTAGTTGAATGACTTCTAGCATTTCTATCGAGATATAAGTATCGGGTAAATGATGTTACAATGTAAATTTTGTATATTTTCAAAAATATGTTATTATTTTTTTAATTTATTTTTAACTTGATCATTTTAATAATAGCTATAAACAATACTTTTCATCTAGCAAAA